TATTCTATTCTATTCTATTCTATTCTATTCTATTCTATTCTATTCTACTCTACTCTACTCTACTCTACTCTACTCTACTCTACTCGTACCCTAGGACTATCATTAAGTGTTGCACCTTATGATTCTTGACTCTTGACGAAGGTATCTTTTCTTTTATGTACACTGAGAGCATTTGCACCAAGACAAATTCCTTGTGTGTCCAACCACACTTGGCCAATAAAAAGAATTCTATTCTATTCTATTTAGCCCTGCCGGCCACATGACCACGGAGACGTCTTCGGACAGCGTTGGCTCTTTGGCTTTGTAACTCAGATGAGTACCGCCTCCTGGAGCCTGAAACAACTAGCACGGATGTGCAAGGGGAACCTTTACCTTTAAGATACGTTTTATAACCAGCTGTTTACGCCATTCTCAGTGGTTACCTCTGCTCTTCTAATCCGGGAAACCTGCAAATCAAATTTGTTTCTGGTACACGTTCCTTGTTAGAATTCCCTCTCGAGCCATCTGTGGTGCAGTCTGCTCTTCGGAGCAGCCGCCAAGGAAGCCAAATGGCGAGGACTGGTATTTATTATTATTTTCAAAGGTGACCTTTTGCTTCCTAGAACCGCTGCAGCGATTGTTCCCACCTTCAAGCCATGCTCGATGGCCATTTTCCTTGGGGAGCTAGGGCATTTTATCCGCAGCAGCGGATTGTCAGGATCCCAATCCTCATCCATCAAAGTTTGTCCTCCTAGAGAGGTTGCTGACTTCATAAGTTTCCTTAAGAAAAGCGTCCAAATCTCTTATCTTAGGGAAGACAGAGGCCCTCGGTGACTTTTGACTTCCGAGCACATTAATTCTTCTCTCCCCCCCTCCCCTCCCCCCGCCACCCACTGCACTGCCTGGGGGATATTTATAAAACCTGGACATGGATGGATCAAAATCCTCTCATTCAGCAAGATCTTTTTTGATCAGGGCACATTGTGCTGCGTTGGGCACTTTGAAACTGGATATAATGGTTGGTGGGAAACGATTTCGGGAGGCAGGAGGAAGAAATATACATTCAGGCTTGCAAGATTCCATTAATGTAACCTTAGAAATAAAGCTAGAGCTATTATTCTGGGTGGATGCTTCCGGTCTGGACTACCTCAAAGGAGTAACATCAATCTTGCACGTCTGAAAGAACATCTCCCCACCCCACCTCCAGGTGCCTTTACAGTCCAAGAAACTTGGGAGGGTTTCTTCTGAAAAGTTTCCCACGTCCCACGCCTTCTGAAGGCCCAGCGGCCTCTTACCTGCTTCTTGTCTTCTCTGTGGCTCTTTTTCCTGTCTCCGAAACTCATTCCCATGTGCCATTTACACAAAACTGGTTAGTGTACCAGTTAGAATTTGGACAACTGCTTGTCTGAAATGGTATTTCAGGGTTTCCTGTCTGAGCAGGGGGTTGGACTAGAAGACCTCCAAGGTCCCTTCCGACTCTTATTCTGAGAACCTCTGAGAAGTTTGCCATGTCCCGTTTTCTTCCTGAGGGCTCAGCTGCCTCTTATCAGTTCTCTGTGATTCTTGCTTTTCTCTCCCGAGGCCATCCCCACATATCATGACACTGGGTCAAGAGCACACTCAAAGCCCCCCCCCCAAAAAAATGGTGTGATGTCCATTCACAATTTTAATGGAGACCTGCCAGCAAGTTGCAAGCTTCCTTCTGCAGTTGAGCCAGAAATGCCTCTCTCACCCACCTCCTTGGGAAAAACCCAGCAATTATTCTATAAAACAGAGGTAGAAGTTGATAGATGTATTTTTAAAGTAATATAAACTGTGTAGGCGGCAATAGTATTTCCCCCCTCCCTTCTCTTCTTGCCAAGGTAATTCCGTTGCTCTTTATTATATCACCTTTAATAGAATCAATTCTTTCTCATATAACAATAATAGGTAAAAACAGAAGGTTGTCTATCATGCTGAAACAAAAAAGGGGCTTCATTCTGTTTGCACAAACGTGTTTTACCAGATCGGTTAAAAACCTTGTGGTTACATCAGCACTACATGCTAAACTAATATTTTTGGGAGGTGGGGAGCAGAGGGGGAAACCTATTTTTCTTCATTTAGGTCTGGATATAATCTGACAAAGGAATAAGTCAATACTCCAGTTGAAGCTTCCCCGGTCCCTATGCAGAGCTTACATTTTAGAATTTTCAGAGTTTTAAGCTGCAAAAATAACTATTTATTATCCAATTCCAGCCATCAGCCTAGTTACAAAGTCTGGACCTTTGCCAATTATGTAGACGGTGGATTTTGACCATTCCTATTTTACATTCTGGAACTTGCAGAAGGAAAATCATGCATTTGAAAAGTAAAAACACAGTTATTTTGACAAAACTCCCTCCAGGCTGAACAGTTGCTATAATTGAGT